TATATATACACACACACACTTCGTCCTATAAATCCTAAAAAGCAGCAATACTTTGAGAAAATGCTAAGGACCAGAGAAAGGTGTACAAAACCAAAGTAAACGTTTTTCAACTGGTTCCTTTAAGCTCACTGTGGAAAAGGAATAAGGTTCTGACAGGTTTTTGAGACTTAAGTTGTGAAACTGCATCCAATGTGTTTGAAAAGTTAGGTTGTTTTTCCTTTGATAAACATTTTACATCTTCTATTTTACAGGAATTGCTCATGCCAATATTATTTTTATGTTTCTATTATTCTTTTTTTCCCCCTTTTCATTTTGTTCTATTGATTTCTTACAGATTTGTGTACTGATCATTTTACACTGTCGTGATGTGTCTAACACCATCAATCTTACAATATGTATAAATCTGAAAGAGAAATTTACCCTGGTAGCTTGTTATTCAGTTATTGCATAAATAATTCACTTTAAAAGAAGAGTCTCATGTTACCTTTGATTGTTACCATTTCAGGAACTACCAYCAGTATGCTTCTTAAAGCTAATGTTAATGTGCCCTTTATTCTGCGTGAGTAAGCTGAATATCTTTTGGTGATTCTACACTCTCTGTATTACAATTTTTARCATAGTTCATTATTATACAGCAAGAGATCTCCATCTGATGGTTAGGTTAAATTATTTATCCCTACCCTGAAAGAAAAAAAAGAAAAAGTCATATTAGAAGTCAGGCAAAAAAGTCACAAGTAAAAACTGCTAAGAAATGTAACCTCTACAAACCTGTCTCTGCACAATGCAGTGATAGAAACCAGAACCGTACATTCACAAAGGTTTGACCAAACTATAATGTGGAAGTCATTGTGTTTACTGTGAATCACAACTTTCTTAATCAAATATAAACATTCATCCAAACWCACACACACCAACTTGTAAAACCTTTATACCTAAAGAGTACATTAAAGAGGCTCAGTAAAAAGAAAATGTGAGCATACACATTACATTCATCATGAGAATAAACAGTGTCACAGTAGGAACAACGTGTTCGACACTGCGACTTGTTAAAAGACTGAAAAAAAAAGATGATTAACACAAGATGAGTAATGAGTTTAGCACAAGGGAAGACGCAGTGAAAACCTGTGCTTCTATGGCCCAATCTGTCACCGAGGACCTGCTTATGTCTCTGAATCTGATTACAAACAAACTGCTCTGTAAATAACAAGGTGTGCTGTATGTCTGACAATTGAAGAAGAGGAAAACAAAACATCTAATCACCTTTGCATTTATCACCCCAGGCAGCATTAGAATGATTAGCCCTATTTTTAAACCATCTGTTATCTTGATGCTTTATTTCATGTCAATATTTTGAGTGGTGAGTCAAACGTTTCAAACGCATTGTGTTTCTATAGATTTTWTGAAGTGTGTTTTAAATTAATAAGGATGTCCAACCAGTTAGATTAAACATATTGGACCATTTCCAAGATAAGAAACCATTTAAACTAACGTTATTCTGACCATTTTTTTTAATTACAGGCCAAAATTTCCTGCAGCCATWAAAAGGGTTAAACGATTGAAAACAAATCCTTTATAAGTACAATMCACTATAGTATTGTAAACCCCCTTTATGTGAAACAGAGGCAAATTAGGAAATGAAGTAATACTGACAAGAGCATACTCACTGCCCCCCAAAGCTATGTTCCACATTGTCCGCATTTCCTGTCCCAATTTCCACCTCAAGTTCAAACCCCCTCAGGGAATTTGGTCACTTTATGATTCAGTTGGGTTAGTTCTTAAAAATCTTCACTCAGTTATAAACTTTATAAGCCCTCGTGTATTACCGGCAACAAATAGATGTCTTAGCACAACTTTTCAAAGAGTGGAAAGAAATTATATTAGATTTCATACTTTTAATTGATTTGTAAGATAATTGAATATCCAGCTCTACTCAAGGGCAAAAAGAGGCAAATGGGCTGTGATTTTTAAAATCACTCATTTGACTTACATCAAAGTTGTTGAGGGCATAAGCGAGCTCTCCAGCCCCTCCTGGCTGGATCAGGGATGAGTCTTCAGTGGATGTGGCCTGGGCAGCGTTGGAAATTCCTGAAACTGCGTGCTGGAGTTGTTTGTAGATCAGGTCACGGTTAGCCTTGTAGGCTGCCACGTCAGGATGCTGCAGGCAGGCACACGACGCTTTGTACAGCAAGGGGACGTTCCTCTGGAGTACCCCACGAGCGGCAGCCATTTGGTCCTTGTGGTGAACGTCCTTTAGCTCCTAGCAGGAGGACATTAAAAAGAAGAAAAATTGGGGTTAAACTGAAAGCTGGAATATTCACAAGGATGATGTACTTTCAGTTCAAAATGGGCCTGTCATTACGGAGACGTTAAGAGTTTGTTACGGATGACCCAGATTTATTTCTGTCCCCTGCGGTAATACAACACAGTCATAATCAGGCCATTATAAAAAGAGCCTTAGTGATTTAATGTGTTGCTATTCAGACTTTAGGATTGTATCGAAATTATATCTTCGTGTAGGGGAGGGGAGCAGACAGTGACTGATGTAGGATGAAAAGGCCTCACCATCAAATCGAGTCGTTCCAGACACCCCCACTACCAATCACTGAGCCACATTACTTCATATATTCTCTTAGCTCACATAAAAACAGTAAAATTATAAGCACTTCCACAAAAATCTCCCATTGTAGGCACTTATTTCTTTACCATCTAAAGATGAGGCAGCTTAAACTTTGAAAAGTTACTGAACATGAAGTTTGTAGATAATCAGGCAAAAGGTGCTTCTGAACAAAACTCATTGTTGTCTTAATTTTATGACAGTAAGAAGTTGCAATACACAAAAACATCGTCTAGATTGAGTTTGTTTATTAATATAACTGGTTTTAAAAACTTTTCTAGAGTTTAACTAAGAAACTAACTAAGAAATAATGGATGACAGCTTCTTTCTTGGCTGCACTTCCACAGGACACAGATGTTTATTTTTTTATGTCTCCCATATTTTGCAGGATATGCAATATAAAAAAGCGTGGGTGTAGGACTTTAAAGTGGACATATGATTTTAAATCCTTTTTCACATTTAAATCATTCAGTTGGAGTCTATATAAAATGGAACTGCAATGCTTTGGTCTGAAGTCCCCCTTGTGGAAATTTTACAAGCTTCTCTTTCACTCCTTTTCAAAAGGTGTGTCTCTAAGCAGCTCATTTTGAGGCTGTATCTTTAAATCCAAATGAGGCACTTCACACCGCACCCATCATCGGCTTCCAGACCGGTCTAGTCTAGTTTGAGAGAAGCGTTTACCACTATCTTGTGGTGCAAAAATGTTTTATTTATAATAGGGATGCACGATATATCGGTACTGATATTGGTATCRGCCAATATTGGTCATTTTTAGAATATCAGTATTGGTCCCATCTGTAAAACGGGGCCGATATTAATGTCCGATATTGATTTCCCACTTTTTAGCTTTGTGTTTCTGTTTTGGGAGGTGAGACGGTTTGTTGAGCAGCATCTGTTTGATCGTGATATTGATGCTGTATAGCCAGGAATAACTGAAGTAGGGAGTCATGTCAGAGGTCTGGGGCCTCATGTATYAATGGTGCGTAYGCACAAAAACCTTGCATACGTCATTATCCAYGCAAAACTCCGGATGTATCAAAACTCAACTGAACGTGGAAATGTGCGCAGCCCCACGCCAACTCCAGGGATGGCGTGYGCACGTTTCTGTGGCTTTGGTTCCATTGGCGACACTTAGAGGTGATTCTGAGAAACTGTTCATGGTGTGAAAATGATTATTGTTCACAACAGACACACATGATTAACAATTATKACATTCTACATGGACGTAGTTAAATGAAGGACRCGCAAAGTTGTGCCAAAAATACATTCAACAGGAACGGATTCAGCCTTACTGGAGGATATAATAAATAGTGTAACACGCAGAACATTTATTTATAAACAGATAGAAATTTCTGATGACAAGTGGCTCATCAGCCGTTTTGAGGAAAAATCATTTTTAGTTTGGCACTGCGGCGCTCTGGGAGCGCGACGCAGCGAGCCGCGTGCGCCATGCGTGCACGTGCAGCAGCAGCAGCGATTGAACTGGGGTTCCACAGGAGCTTTTCAGAGGGAGCTGGCAGACCCATCGGGACCATCAGTCCAGTCCACCCAAAGCAGAGTCAAGCCCAATGGAACGGTCTCATCCATATGATTCTAAAGGCTGAGTTATGGTCGCGCTCTGGAGCGCGTGCACCCTCGCCGGCAGTGGAGATGTTTCATACTTGGTGTTTACGTTGTAGATTTCTCCAAAATGACATGTGGAAGTACACTTTATAATTTGTGAAAATGTTGTAAGTAGGAGAGCAAAAGCTTGACAGACAAACAGACTGCGCACAAAGGCTGTGGCATGCACAGCCATTGTGGAGACTCTCCAACATCACGTCATGTGAACTCTCTACTGAGACGCAGAGACTCGTTTCTTAATATCAGCTATGAAATAAACAAAGATCTATGTTCTACTAAACATTTAAGTTCCTCTGTGTCTACAGTAATTATGGTAATAAACTCGTGCGCAAAGTTAATATTTTCAGACTCAGAATGGATGGATGAGCCGGTTGCGCAACAAAGCAGCGTGCACACAATCGCTCGTTCTTTGCGTGATAAACATTTTATTCCTATTTTTACTTAGGATTTTTTTTTCACTCACATTATATTTAATTCATTATTTTTATGACATTAGAAATCATTTCTGATGGCGCAGGGATCAAACATGTCCTTCACACATGCAGGAAGTAATTTGCATCTGTTTAACATATGTTAATGAAGGCGTGTCAGGGGAGGTGTCTTACCTGCKCTCAGTTCCACGTTAATTGTGATGTACAAAAGAAATCCACGCAAGTCCTTTGTACATGAGGCCCATGGTCATTTATTTACAGTATCAAAAAAGACCCAAATTGTGTTTGTGTGTATATGTATAATATAATTTGTATGTTTGTGTCATTTCGGTAAATATCGGTTATCGGCCATAACAGCAAGAATTATATCGGATATCGAGATCGGCTGAAATTTTCATATCGGTGCATCCCTAATTTGTAAAGAAATCATAAGATGACAACAGAAGACTTGCCTATGCAGCCTTACATGTTGGAGCCAGAATCTGACCCAGAGAAAAAGAAGAATGAAGTMGACCAAAATACWTTGACGTAATAGTTCAGAAAACATCAGAAAATAGAGAAAATTGAACGAGTTGAACAATATGACTCAAGCAGAATACTGTATATCCATATATRCAAAAACAGAAATAGCTAAATTAACTTTTCGGCTCTCTTAGAGACTGCTCGTACAAAACAAATGCACAAATTACACATGTGGACAAATTTGTTGGTACCCCTCGTTTAATGAAAGAAAAACCCACAAAAGGTCACAGAAGTAACTTCATTCTGACAAAAGTAATAATAAACAAAAATTCAATGAAAATGAACAAATGAAAGTCAGATATTGCTTTTCAGCAGTGTTGTATAAAGTASCACAAAGTGATACTTGAGTAAACGTGCAAGTATCTTACCAAAAAATTACTTTGGTAAAAGTTAAAGTCTCCTTTTGGAATATTACTTGAGTAAAAGTCTTAAAGTATGATATTTTTTGTGCGCAAGTATGAAAAGTGAAAGTATTAACTTAAAATGAGCAGTTAGATTTTCTGTAATGAAATTTATAAGG